CTCATTCACACACATAACAAATATGTACAATCTGTAAAAATCAAATAGACATCTTCTAAAGTAAAAGTGTACGTATTTTCCATGTTCTGACAATTGATTCTAGGCTGACTCAACCCATTTAATTCACCATCATTACATCGCGGTGTCTTTTAAAATGATAAATGATTAATAAATCAGGGTGGATCCATAAAATTTTAATCTATCTTAACTCGAAGGAAGGGTGGTAATGTGGGTAAGTTATTAATTTCAGCGTGAGCAGGCAAGTGTACAGCATAAGAAACTATTTTGCAGCATCTGAAACCGCCAGATACGGACAACGTCAAAATATCAGTTAAGTTAACGACTCATTATAGACACGATAATTTTCAAGTACACAAGTCGTTTAAATGGAGTCATCTTTTCAAAACAGCTCAAAGAACCACATATAGACTTTTTGCACATGCTTGACAAGCTCTTGTATTATAAACACGGCTTCGTGTTATTTTAGGGAGGCTTGCTCAGATCGAAGTGCATGACTTCAGGCCTTATTGGATCAAAACTGGATTAAAATTAATATTGGGTCAGCATTTACATTCGGCGATGTACATTTTGATTATGTTCTTTAGCTAAACACACTTTGGAGGGACACCATAGCAAAGGCTACATTTAAGAAATAATTAGTTATCTGGCACCTAGCATGCACTCATGACCGCAAGACTTTCAGAGGAGGCAGTGTGATATAATATTATACTAGGCTATAATTTATAGTAGATCTCAAGATCTCTGCAAACAATTCTTGTCCCTACACTATCAATCTCATTGAACCAGCACTGCATTCATCAGCTCCACATAATGTTCCCTACTTCCAGAACCAAGGCCAATTTAAGGAACTGGTATATATCTGTATGGCAATGCACCAACCTAATTATCTCTCCCCAATAACACACCAGAATAGGCCCCAATTTACAAATGCAGGCAAAGAATACATCAGTTCCTGGGTCCATGACGACGAGGTTTTCCTACCCTTTTTTGATTAGGCTATCTACAGGGCATACAGCCATATGCTGTCTAACAGGTGACTGACATTTTTCAACACAACGGAAATTCCCAAACGGGCGTCATGGAAGCTGCCAACGTAATGTGTTATTGGAACCAGTCAGTTTAGAACATAAAAATATGGCTGATCTCAAGCATACATGTATTATATAAACATCCAAATATATAGATAACCCGAACAAAATACTCTCTC